CTCACAGAGATCCGCCTGCCTCTGCCTCCCGAGTGCTGGGATTAAAGGCGTGCGCCACCAACGCCCGGCTATTTTCCTATTTTCAATCAGGCCTAAAAGCCTCATTCTGGCATTATTTTGCTCTTCCAAATTGAGAAAACCTACATCTCAGGACAAAGTCACAATGAGCGAAGACCTGCCTGCTTAATAAATGACATTTCTTTTAAATGCAAATTTGAAGACCTAACATTTGCTTGTCCATATTTCTTTCTTGTCTCTGCCTAGCATAGTTCCTTCCTATGCCTACCTCACCTCTGAGACTCTGTCATACCTCCCGTCACCTCCCCAAAATACATGCATGCATTTGTGTTCATGTGTGTTTATACTTGTCTTTTTTTCAATTTTTATTTATTATGTATACAGTGTTCTGCCTCCATGTAAGCCTGCATGCGGAAGAGGGCATCAGATCTCACTACAGATGGTTGTGAGCCACCATGTGGTTGCTGGGAATTGAACTCAGGACCTGTGGAAGACCAACTAGTGTTCTTAACCCCTGAGCCATCTCTCCAGCCCTCAATTTTTTTTTTAAGATTTAATTATTTAGTGTGTATACAGAGTTCTACCTCGGCATATCCCTATAGGCCAGAAGAGGGCACTAGCTCTCATTATAGATGCTTGTGAGCCACCATGTGGTGGCTGGGAATTGAACTCAGAACTTCTGGAAGACCAGCTAGTGTTCTTAGCCGCTGAACCATCTCTCCAGCCCCCTATACTTGTCTTGATATAGCTCTACTAAGTTAGACTAAGGGAAATTTTTCTGTTTTCTTTCTTGTGTCTTCCCTTTTTTCTTTTACTCATCAAAAACTGAATAGATAAACACAACACAGTATGATAGACTATACAATATAGATTTTTTTGTTTTGTTTCTGGACATGGCGTCTTGCTAAGTTGCTCACAGAGAAATACCTGCCTTTGCCTCCTGAGTGCTGGGATTAAAGGCATGTACCACTATGCCCAATTTAAGATTTTTTTTTCTGGACAGGGTTTCTCTGTGTAACCCTGGCTGTCCTGGGACGTGCTCTGTAGACCAGGTTGACTTGGAACTCCTCTGCCTCCCAGAGTGCTGGGATTAAAGGTGTGCACCACCACCGCCCGGCTAGCTCCCCCCCCCCCATTAAGATTCTTAGGAAATGATGCGGGGCTGTGCTGGATAGATGGCTCTGTGTTTAAGAGCACTCATGGTTCTTGTAGAAAAAAAAACCTGGGTTCTGGTCCCAGCACCCACATGCATCTGTAACTCCAGTCTCAGGAGATCTTCTGACCTCCAGAGACACCAGGCACACACATGATAATATATGTACATGTAGGTAAAACATTACAATAAATACATCTTTAAAAATGTTTAGAATTGCCAGGTGGTGATGGCACACTCCTTTAATTCCAGCATTTGGGAGGCACAGAGAGGCTGATCTCAGTGAGTTCAAGGCTAGCCTGGTCTACAATGTGAGTTCCAGGTCAGCTAAGGCTATACAGAGAGTCCCTGTCTCAAAACAAAACAAAAAAGGCAAACCAAACCAAACAAACAAACAAACAAAAAAAAACAGACAGGGTAGTGCACACCTTTAATCCCAGCACCTTATGAGTTTGAGGCCAGCCTGGTCTACATAGTGAGTTCTAGGACAAGTGGAGATACATAATAAGCCCCTGTCCAGAAAACAATGAAAGAAAGAAAGCCCCTTTCAGCAGTGCCCAACTGCTGACTTTTAGTTGATTCTAGATTCAGTCAGGATGACAACCATGAAAACCATCACAGCCCTCATCAACTTGATACTCAGTTGAATTGCTTTAGGCCATACTTCCAAATGAAAAATGGTACCAAGGTCATAATCCCATATAACATGCTATAACCTACACATACGACTTAAATCAAAGGTTGTCCTACATCCCTAGCCAGGACATTATAATACTTTTCTAATTAACGTCCTTGTTTCTACAGTCAACTTTTGCCATTACAGAAACAGGGATTTTTCTGTAATACAAATCAGGAAACTTTGCTTAAGAATCCTTCAACAGCCGGGCATTGGTGGCGCACGCCTTTAATCCCAGCACTCGGGAGGCAGAGGCAGGCGGATCTCTGTGAGTTCGAGGCCAGCCTGGTCTACAAAGCTAGTTCCAGGACAGCCTCCAAAACAATACAGAGAAACCCTGTCTCGAAAAAAACCAAAAAAAAAAAAAATCCTTCAACAATGGGACTGCAGGTAGGGCTCAGTGCTTAAGGATACTGGCTTCCTTTGCAGAGGACCTGGGTTTGATTCCTAGCACCCCACATGGTGGCTCATAACTGTATGTAAAGACTGTCCCAGGGATCCAGTGTCTTCGTTTGCCCTCTGCAGGCACCTGCAGGCAAAAATTCCATACATACGACTGTTTTCATTAAAAAGAATCCTCTGCCTACATAATCTGATGTCACGCTCACAACTTCATTGAGCTTCAGTCTTTCTTTTCTCTCCCTTAAAAATATTTATATTTTTATTTATATGCTTATTGTGAGGTGGGATACAGCGTCCATGCTTGAGGAAGTTAGAGGACAACTTTTGGAAATCAGTTCCCTTTTCTCCTTCCCCGGGATTGAACTTAGGCCTTCAGTCTTGGCACTAAACATTTTTACCCACTGATACATTTTTTAAAAAAGATTTCTTTATTCATGCACATGAGTGCTCTATTTGCATGTGTTCCTGCATGACAGAAGAGGGCAACAGATCCCACTATAAACGGTAGTGAGCCACTATATGGTGGCTGGGAATTGAACTCTGGACCTCCGGAAGAGCAGCCAGTGCTCTAAACTGCTGAGCCATCTCTCCAGTTCCACTGATCCATCTTTAATTTTTTTTAAATTTTATTTTGTGTATTATTTTGTTTGCATGTTTGAGAACCACATGCAGTTCCCGGAGCGGCCAGAGGAGGGCAGCAGATACCCTAAGGGTAGCGTTAGACAAGATTGTGAGCCACGATATAAGCACTAGGAATGGAATAAGTATTCTTTGGAAGAGCAGCCAGTGCTCCAACCATTGGACAATCTCTTCATCCGCCCACAGATGCATCTTGTTAGCTTTCCCTTCCCTCCATTTTTTTTTTTTTTTTTTTTTTTTTTTGGTTTTTGAGACAGGGTTTCTCTGTATTGTTTTGGAGGCTGTCCTGGAACTCGCTCTGTAGACCAGGCTGGCCTCGAACTCACAGAGATCCGGTTGCTTCCGCCTACCGAGTGCTGGGATTAAAGGTGTGCATCACCAACGCCCGGCGCTTCCCTCCATTCTTATTTCTCAGTTTTTTTTTTTATCATAGTATTTAAAATTTTAAATTCCATCCATTTACCCATCCATCCATCCTGTACTCGTGGGAGAGCATGTATCACAGATCAAAGGACAACTGTTAGAAGACACTTCTCTCCTTCCACCGTGAGGGTCCTTGGTTTCAAGCTCAGGTCACCAGGTTTGACAGCAGGCCCCCTAAGCTGCTGAACCATCTTGCAGTCCAGTTTCAGCTTGTTCTTTCCTTTTCCTTTTTCTTTCTTTCTTTCTTTTTTGAAACAGGGTTTCAAAAGCCTTGTGTAAAAAGCCCTGGCTGTCTTGGAACCCGCTTTGTAGACTAGGCTGGACTCAGACTCACAGAGATCCGCCTGCCTCTGCTTCTCAAGTGCTGGGATTTAAAGGTGTGCACTACCACTGCTTGACTAAATTTTTAAGATTTTAAATTTTTTTATTAATTTATTTTTGGTTTTTTGACACAGTGTTTCTCTGTAGGTTTGGAGGCCGGCCTAGAACTCCCTTTGAAGATCAGGCTGGCCTCGAATTCACAGAGATCCACCTGCCTCTGCCTCCCGAGTGTTCTTTTTTTAATTTCATTTTACATTTCAATTACAGATCCCCCCCGCCCCCGTGCAGTCCACCCCAGTCCATTCCATTCCTCCTCACAGGTAAGGGCTCCCATGAGGAGTCAACAGGGCCAAGGCCCTCTCCCATGGATTAAGACTGGCCACGGCATCCCATCCCACCATAGGGAATGGGCTCCAACAGGCTAGGGTTATATCAAAGCAAAGGAATTTCAATGAAATAAAAATGTAATTGCATTATATAAGAAACTGATGTGAAAAGTATATGGTCGAAATGAAGTTTACTCCAAAAGATATCTTTTATTTGGGTGGTGGTTTATCCTTATTTCCTACCATTTGGAAGGCTGAGGCAGGAGCATTGCTGTGAGGTCTAAGACAGCTTAGAGGATACAGTGAGATGCAAGCCATCTACAAGGCCTACAGAGTGCTGGCCCATCTCATGAAGCAGAACAAAGGAAAAATAATAAATAAACACCCAAAACCAAAATACAACAGAAGTAAAGATATCTTCTAGCTGAAAAGCCATTTATTGATATAACTGATTACTACCATTTGTATCATCTTTAGGACTGAGGCCCTAACTTGCTGGTAGAGTGTCTGCTTAGCATGTTCGAGGTCCCTAATATAATTCCTAACCCTGCCTAAAACATAAAAGTCTGGGCCTAAAATACCTGGTCAAAATCTTCAGTGCTTACTAGTATCATGGAAATGGAAGGATCCAGAAAGCCTGTGTTCTTGGACTAGAGCTTTAGAAGTCAGGGCTGCAATTACAAAGCTGGAACTTTCCACTGTGTAAGTAGCAATCTGGTTCCCTTTGCATCTGCTGTAAAATAATGCATACTGGGAGCCTAATACACACTTGTTGAATGTCAAGATCCTCTTAATGCACTGTAAGTACTAAGGACAGAGGACTTGACCTATAAAGTGCATCATTTTAACTTAGCAATGACTGAGTCACACATGAACTCTCAGGAGCTTTGAGAGCCGAATCAGGGAAACTGGGACATGGTATAAACACAAGCCCTTCAAAAAATAAACCACTTCCTAGTCATAAATTGACGTACTTTTGTGTTTATGTTCTTTGTTCACCAAACTTAATTCTTCTCCCCCCCCTTAAAATTTGCTTTGACAGATTTCCTTACTTTCCACCTACAAGGTTATCATGGAGATCTCAAAGGAAACGGTATTTGATGAATTTGAGAACTATTCCTATATCTTGGAATATTACTCCCCGGAGTCTGATTTGGAGGAGAAGGCGCACCTGGGAATTACTCACTGGATCTCCCTGCTATTATATGTCGTAGCGTTTGTCCTGGGGATTCCGGGAAACGCCGTTGTCATTTGGTTCATGGGATTCAAGTGGAAGAAGACAGTCTCTACTCTCTGGTTCCTCAATCTGGCCATTGCAGACTTGATTTTTGTCCTCTTCCTGCCCCTCTATGTCTCCTACGTGGTCTTGAGTTTCCACTGGCCCTTTGGCCGGTGGCTGTGCAAGGCTAATTCTTTCATTGCCCAGCTGAACATGTTTTCTAGTGTTTTCTTCCTGACAGTGATCAGCCTAGACCACTGTTTCCGTTTGATCCATCCTATCTTGGCCCAAAGGCACCGAACCCTAAAGAACTCACTGGTCGTTATTTTATTTGTGTGGCTTTCGGCTTCTCTGCTTGGAGGTCCTAGCCTGTACTTCCGGGACACTCTGGAGGTCAATAACCACATTATTTGTTATAACAATTTCCAGGAGCACGACCCTGACCTCAGCTTGATGAGACATCATGTTCTGACCTGGGTGAAGTTCCTTTTTGGCTACCTCTTCCCTTTGCTGACGATGAGCTTCTGTTACTTGTGCCTCATCTTCAAGGTGAAGAAGCGAGGCATTCCGATGTCCAGTAAGCATTTTTGGACAATCCTCTGTGTGGTCATCGCCTTCACGGTGTGCTGGACTCCTTATCACCTGTTTAGCATTTGGGAACTCACCACGTACCACAACAGCTCTTTCCAGCACGTCCTGCAGGGTGCAATCCCTCTCTCTACCGGCTTGGCATTCCTCAATAGCTGCTTGAACCCCATCCTTTACGTTCTCATTAGCAAGAAGTTCCAAACTCACTTCCGGGCCTCTGCTGCTGAGGTACTAAAGCATTCACTGTGGGAAGTCAGCTGCCATGGCATAACCAGTGAACAACTCAGGAGCGCTGAAACCAAGAGCTTGTCTCCCCTAGAATCCATCCAATGAGTACCGTGTTCCCAGAAATCAGCGTGGAGTCGCCCAGTGAGCCTGATAACATCCTTTCAGATGAAGCTTTGTCCTGATCTAAACTGGCTGACCATATTTTTGTTGTTTTTGTGCGGTGTATTGGCCTTATATTTTTGTGTGCGTATAAAATGTAGGATTTCTTCCTTGCCTTTTAAACGAGGCATATTTCTGTCTGCCCTCTGGCGGTGATTGTGGTACTGACAACCTATAACTCCTCCCAGTGTTTCAGCCTCCGTCCATTGATGTACTGCAATATATCTCTCAGATTTAAATAAATCATCTTTAGAATGCATACCACATTATATTAATCCTCTTGAAAAAGTATCGGGCTCATTTTTGTTTGCCTTTGGGTCATTTTGTGCATGCATGCGTGTTCATGTGTGTGCACGTGCACATGTTTGCAAACGGTGATAAGTAAACCTTGATTGTTGCTCCTCATGAGCCTCCCACCTAACTTTTTTTTTTGAGACAGGGTCTTCCACTTGCCTGGAGCTCACCAAGTAAACTAAGATGGCTAACCAGCAAGTCCCAGAGATCTGCTTATCTCACCTCCCCAACACTGCAACTGGGCGCCGGTCACCGGTCACCACGCCAGGCTTTTTCTGTGGGCCGCTCTTTAACAACTGGGGCTTCTCCCCAGCTCCCTGATCACCTTTTCAGTTACTAAAAGAGAAACTTAACAAAAAACTTCATCTGGGATAGAGTTTCACTACGTAGCCTAGACTGGCCTCAAGCTCCAATAAACAAATTGAATATACATATATTTTAACAACATAATACATACACATTCAACTTTGATAATTTATGAATAAAACTATTAGTTGGTTATAGTGGTTTAAAACTTCCATTCCTGTTAGCTGTTAACTTAATAAGTTGCCCCCAAATCTAATTGCTTAAAGCTACAGTTTCTTGTTGGTTCAGATCAATCTGAGGCTCTGGAAAACAAGCGAGACAGAGGGTGACTTGACTCGGCTTCCTATGTCTGTCTGGGGCCTCAGACGGATAATGATGTGAATGGCCTAGCCTGGAATAGTTGGGATGAGCTAATCCATCGTCCTTCCTCTCACATCTGCACTTCTCGGTCCAAAGGCTGCAAGGGGAAGTGCTCATCCTCAGACGGAGCCTCATCCTCAGGCCGGTTAAAGCTTAGGAATGTCACTCACAGCCTTGCTTCCACAATATCCAACTGGTCAAAGCAAGACTAGGCTGGCTCAGAATCAGAGGACAGACCTCTTGCCTTTTGAGGAAGCATGTCTACTATTTTGTGTTCATTTTCAGTTCTTTAGAACATCACGGCTATGGAAAATTCCATCTGCATACAAGTGTGTGGATTACTATAAACAACAGAAACACATTCCCAGGTGATATAGAGGCTAATCTGAACTCAGAACTACTTCAAAGAGCATGCATTGCAGGCATAGTGCCATCTTTTGCCTTTTTGTTTACGTGGACACCAGTATAAACTGAACTCAAGCCGGACTCAAGCACTATGAATCCCCAGCATAACAAGTGCGCCCTCTGCCGACTCTCATGGTTCTGACATTGCCTTCCTCTGACTCTCATCGTTTAGACACTGCCCTCTGCTGGCCATTATGATCCTAACGAACCTGAAAAATTTTCCTCGGTGCATGTTTTATCAAATAAACCTTTACATCAAGTTTCCCTCACTAGACTGAGAGCAAGAGTGAAATAACCCTGGATTGTTTATTCTCTTGAACCCCCATCTACAAAATAAACTGTAAAAACTATAGTAACTATATTTGGTATTTAACATGAAGCCTAAACAGCTGTGATGTGTTCAATGGTGCCGTTTCCAGGGCAGTACAATCCCTGACATCAGATCACACTTGTAACAAAAGGCCCAACCTCTTTAGCTGAACGAATACTCAACATTTGTAAATGCCTGTTGTGACCTAACATCCTGTGGAACAGCGGCACATAAAACATTTTGGGGGGGGGGAGGTAACCAGATCATTCAGCAGTTACATCCAGGGGACCCAGTAACCTCTTATGAATTCCTCAGGCAGGCACTCATGTGGTAATACAGACACACCTCTGAAGAAAACATTTCTGTGAACGGGTGCTATGCATTTATCAAGTAGGAGACTTTTCAAAGTTGGCACTCTACTCCCCACCTAGGTTCTAGGGACTGAACCCAAGTGGCAAATGTACCCTTAATGGCTGAAACATCTACTGGCAAAAGTCAACTGTCCAAAAAAAGTCTGCTCACAATAGACCGCATCCATCAGCAACACGTGAATTTTATCACCCACGGTTACAAAATTACACTGTAATTGCTAAATGTTTATTTTTCAGTCCTCTCCTTCCACCACGTGGGTCCTGAGGGTGAAACTCAGGCTGGTCAATCAAGCAAGTGGCTTGACCTGATGCATTATCTATCTTTCCAGCCAAGTTTCCCCCCAAATTTCGACATATATATGTATATATTTGTCACAATAGAATGTAGAGCCAAGGGTTGTTGTTTTCAAGTCTTTATTTAAGTGCTCTGAGGATGTTTTAAATCTTGTTGAAAGCAGCCACATCCATGGACTGCACGTAGTCCTCAAAGGCAGTTATCTGTTCCTCTAGCATATCTGTTCCAACTTTGTCATCTTCAACTACACACTGGATCTGAAGCTTTTTAATTCCGTAGCCCACCGGAACCAACTTGGCTAAAAAAGAACATCAACAGAAAAAGTTAGGAAACTCTGACGGGAAAACATTGAAAATGTACATGAATCCCAACTTCAAAACATATCACTAAACTTACAAGAGCCCCACACCAAGCCATCCGCTTGGATGCTCCTGACACACTCCTCCAGCTTTGTCATGTCTGTCTCGTCATCCCAAGGCTTCACATCAAGTAAGAGGGAAGACTTGGCAACAACCGCAGGCTCTGAAAAAGATTAAGAAAGCATCACACTTAAGCACTCAACTAGCAGGGCGGTGGTGGTGCACGCCTGTAATCCCAGCACTCGGGAGGCAGAGACAGGCAGATCTGTCAGTTTGAGACCAGCCTGGTCTACAGATCGAGTTCCTCGACAGCCTCCAAAACAATAGAGAAACCCTGTCTCGAAAAACAAAAAAGCACTCAACTAAACACCTTTCCTTAGGCCAAATCTCAATTTGTTTAAAGCAGGCATCTTTTTGCTATAAAAAAAAAAACATACAGAATTTACCTTGTGTCTGTCACGCACATTCTTCCCCTTTCAGTTTGGCTAAGAAAGAGGCATTAAATTGTGTAACAGTTTCTTTCCCACAGAGGAATGCTACAAATGCTATCATATGAGCAGTTGCAGACCAGTAGCTGTGGAAGTTTTATAAGGAAAAATGTTTACTGAAGACTAAAAATACTGACCCATTCAAAGAAACTGGGGGGAAAAAAATCACTTTAGGGTCAAGCTTTGGGAGACTGGTCACACTGTTATTTAGCAATGAAGACACACTGTAAAAGTACCCACTTTTAGCTTTCTTGGATTCATACTGTGCAAGGCGCTCTTCCCGGAGCCTCTTTGCTTCTTCACTTTCCTGGGAAACAAAAATTCCACAAAGTTGGTTATCTTCTGCTTAAAGATAGTGACAAGGTCATTACAAAAATAAACAAAAGACCAGATTTATCAGAAAAAAGCAAATCCATCAGGACCTCAGCCGAAAGATGGTGATTTGGTTTTATTCATCATGTACCCAGTGGTAACTTTTTTTAAAAAGGCAGATAACGAAGCAAAGCCAGGGTTCCAACCCAGTGACTACAGCATCTGCACTGCCTTATCAATGCGCTCTTTATGAGGTCAGCCATACCTCCTCCTCATCTGATCCGAAAAGGTCAATGTCATCATCATCTTTAGCATCCGTGGCTCCACTTCCCGTGGTGTCCTCTACACCGGCAGGGCCATACTTGCCCAGAGATTTCTTCACTCCCGGCAGGCTTGAAAACAAACATTCTACCAATATTAGGTCGGTGGCCATATCCTTTTCTGGACACACAAAACCTTTCTTCCCAGTGACACTCAATCTCTTCTATTCTGGTTATTATCCTTTCGCACAAACAACCCCAGGTAAAAACTTTATGGTGACCAGCTCTTCGCCCAACAAATATCAGCACCACGGGAGACATCATACTCAATACTCACTATGGTTTAACTCTTTCAGAATGAACGTCTCTGTGTGAGAGTTCATCAAGTATGCTCACTTCCATTCTTAGTTAACTGGAGTCCACTTCCCCAAACTCTCCACCCTTGCCGGGAGCTTCAGAAGAATGGCCAGGGACCGAATGAATGAGCTACCCTCTCACCCCAGCGATGGCCCCCCCAGGTCCAAGCACACTGGCAGAGAGGTGTGGGGTAAAGTTGAATTGCTGTGGTCCATGTTCTACCTGTTCCGTGAGAAAACGGGGGGCTTCAGTCTCTTGGCCTTTTGGGGTCACAAAGGAATTGAGCTTACACTAGCCCAACAAAGCTAAAGTTAACTTTAACCTAGGTCCTGGTTTGCCATGTGAAAACCCAGGTGGCAGAGAAGGGATTTTTACCTGGCTTTCTCTTTCTCGTAAGACTTGATGTGGTTATACCAGCGCAGGGCATGGCACAGGTCAGCGGGCGGAGGGCCAGAGACGGCTTCAAACACTGCCACGTCTGCTTGCGATGGCACATACCTGCCGGGAACACAAAAAGGGTGCACACACACCTTTTAAAGAAAAGGCACGGACACCAGCTAGTACGCGCCAAGCCCTACATCCGTCAGACTGACTAGTGGGAGCTATTACAGGGCCGACAAGTTGCTTTAGTTGCGAAGTGCACCGGACATGTGTCTGGATCTACACAAGCCAAGAGCATGTGGCACGCAGGGCCACCATCTTCCCTGTGGTCGCCCAGGTTTAAATGTCTGAACGCGGCACAGACGTGGAAGAACTCGGCTGCAGGCCGCCGCACGGACACCATGCCTACTCCAATCGTTCCGCTCGCAGCCCCTCCCGGGAGGTGCTGCCCCGACGGCATCCGGGCCCCGGGAGAGCCGAACTCGGCCTCCCCGCTTCCCCGCCGCCCGGCCCCCGCCACGTGGCCCCGGCCTCACCCCTCGATGTAGCTCTTGTCCGCCAGGTAATCGTTGAGCACCTGGAGGCCGGCGGGGGTCTTGAGGTCTCCGAAACCCATGGCGTCGGCTGGATCCCGGGGGCCGGCAGCAGCGGAGGGAGAGCGCGCCCGAAGCCTGCGGCCGGCGCTAAGGGAAAAAGGGCCCGGGCCGGCCGGAAAAGTCCTTATATAGAGACGGAGGCGTTTCCCTCCGCTGCACCGGCCA